CAGCGGGAGGCTGGGGAACTCCCAGAGCCCGGCCAGGAGACCTGGGGAAGGGGCACAACGGGGACATCAGCCGGCACGAGGCACATCTGGGGACCCAAGTCTCATCACACCCTGCTCCCTGGCTGCTCTGTCCCTCATGCAGGTGGGAAGGGGCCACGCAGTGCCTTCACCCCGCTCCTGCCCAGCTCCGTTACCCGAGCTGGGTCTCTGCACGATGAGGTACTCCAGGGCCCTGCGGCAGCCCCTCCGCTCCACCACACACGTGGCTGTTCGCGCCGCCCGCGGCTGCTTCTTTGCTGCTTTCCGGGGAAAGTTGGTCACCCCCAGGCTGCTGTCCCATGGCTCTGCAGCTGGGGGGCACAGGGGACAACCCCCAACACCTGCAGACACCAGTGTTAACAGTCGCCATGGGGCCCAGGCCCAGAGCCACAACAGGGATCTCCCCAGGCGCTTACCACAGTCCTCAACATCAGGCACTGGGGTGAGTTTTCCAAACAGCTTCTGAGCTGAGAAGGCCAGCTCCTTCTCCACCTGCAAGGAATGGGGACAGGCTCATCCACCAGCCCACCCTGTCCCCATGCATGGTGACCCCTCAGGGCCGGCACCCAGCGAGGATGTAGGACATGATGCCCAGCCAAGAACAGCTTGCAGCACTGATCTGGGATAGGGATGGCTTGCAAGAAGCTTCAGAGGGGACCCGGGGTGACCTTCTGCTACCCCAGTGGGACAGCTGGCAGCCCCCAGCCACCTGCAGGCAGGGAGGAGACAGATTTTGGGGCCGTACTTACCCTGCGCCATGCTCGGCAGTGCTGCTTCACGGGGCACTCCCTGCACAGCGGGGCCTTGGGCACACACACAGTTGCCCCCAGCTCCATCAGGGCTTGGTTAAAATCCCCTGGGCGGCTCCTGTCTACCAGGGCATTGGCCGTGTTCCTGGGAGAAACAGCAGTGAGCGGCGCGGGGCTCTGCAGGGAGAGGGCCCCGGGACCTCTGCCTGCCTCCTGCCTGCAAGGGGGGATGCCCCTAAGTCAGCAGGGGCAACAGAGATGCTTTCTCCACCACTCCCCGCAGCACCAGCTTCCCAAGAGCTCCTGCACCCCACGCCTCCCTTCCTTTGCAGGCTCAGCTCCCCAGCAATCCTGCCCTCGGCCACCAACAAGCACAGCCACAATGGCTGCATCGCAGAGCGGTGATGGAACATTCCCCTCACCAGAGCCAGTCGATGACAGCTGGGCTGCTGGAATCGGCACCAATGCACCGCAGGCGGCACAGGACCCGGATCACGTTCCCATCCACGACGCCGGTAGCCTGGGACCAGGAGCTGGAGTTACTGAGCTGGGAGGTGCCCACGCTCCCGGCAAGGCAGGGAGCTGGGGTGCTCCCAGGACGGAGCGGGGACACACACGAGGCTGACCCGCAGGCCGAGCTGGGCAGTGGGCGAGACGCGCCACAAAGCGGGGGAGAGCCAGAGACAGGCACAGCCCTGGGGAGCTCCCGGCTCGTGACACCCGCCAGCAGGACCCTACCAGGAGCGGTGCTGGGTAGCAGAGAGGGGAGACGTGTCCCCACTGGCCACCGATGCCCAGCTCTCACCTGCCCATACGAGATGGACGCGATGGCTCCTG